TTGTCTCTTTCTATCAAATTAATTAATAGTACTACTAATTATAGCCAATATTTTTACCATTTATTGTGGTAAAAATGTTACTAATTTTACCATTTTTTCAAATAACTTCAATTTATTTTTCCAAAATATAATCAAATCATGTCTAAACACTTACTTAGATATATAATATAGTTATATGAAAATACAATTAGCAATTGTGACATTCATCCTTCATACTAAAAATAATTACTCGCAATTTACTGTTATACTTACCAATCTAATAAATATAAGACATGAGATTGTCGTAGATATCATATGTAAGTAAGTTTTTTACCTTGTTGATTTTATTTTAATAATAATATCGAGTGTAAATAAATTTTTGTTTTGTTTCCAAAATGATGGAATATTTGTATAAGCGTAGGTAGCATAGGATTCCATAGAAGGGGAACAGTGTACTTGAATGAAAATAATATGACCATGCATGTTGGACAGAGACAACAATGTGTGGATCGCAATAAAGCCTCCCACCTTCATAAATTATTAATTCTCTTTTAACTTTATATACAACATAGTGTAAAAAATATATATACGAGATCACCTAAAATATCTACGAATAATTCTAAAAATAAAACAAATTACTATATGTTATTATTACAGATAAAAGGTGACACGAGACATTACGATTCTTTATATCATGATCAGTGAATATTAATTGAACTCTTATTAATGTTATACATATATACCATCTTGACTTAGAAAAATATAAGTTTTATCGTTAATCTGTTACTAAATTATTCGTAATTATTAAATTTCTTATAATATAATTTATTGATGGACTGTTGTTAAACAAAATTAGCGATGAATTTGATTGTTCAATTAAAAAGATTGCCTATGCTAATGCCTACATTTTGGTAGTGAGTTTAGACAATACATTCTTGATTTTAATATTTGTGGTGTTAATTGTGCAAGTAAATCTGTTCACACGAGCTAATAATTAATTAATATTGTACTTATTACTACTACTTTCCATTAGCATAATTATCACTTATTAGACAACTTTGCCTCTTAAGGTTTATATATATTATAATAAGATACATATCAAGGAATGACTTCACGGTTTTTTGAAATTTAAATTTAAATCTCTCATGATATTTATCTTTTTTTTAAAAAAATTAATTATTGAGCCACACTCTTGTGTGTCTATCCGTGCGTTCTATATCACTTTTAAAAAATTGCTCATCGTTTGTCTTAATCTTCATGTCTTATTTGTTTTGCAGTTCGTATAAAATATATATTTTTGAAATGGAATTAGCTTATTTACTGATAATTGAAATCATTTATAACTATTAAAGTATTCTAATATATATATATATATATATATATATATATCATGTTTTAGATTTTTTTTTCTTTCCAAATTAGTAATTCAACTAATAATGGATAATTACGATCAATCACTTTTAGGTTATCTGATAGTATTGACTTTACATTTATATACCATCAGCGCATATAAGATCAAATCACAACTCAATTTGAGATGAACTTTACTAACTCTAAAGGGAAAGAGGAAACTCCGGGCGACAACTTCCTTGATGACGACATTCATTCGGTGTCGTGTTTGAGTATAAATAAGTTTTTTAAATAAAATTAAAATAGAATTCAAGGAATTAATTCTAGAGGAAATTTATAACGGAAAATGGTCATATTTGTCTTTATATATACTTTCAGAAAGAAATTGTATTTATCCCTCATTATATATTTTTTTTATATATTTATCCTCAGATTATTGATTCCTATGCTTCCACCCTTATTATTCTATGTGTCACCTACGTGGATATATTTTTATCCTAACTAAAAATTTTCTTTAATATAAATTATACCCGACCCAACTAATCCATTAAACTCATTTCTCTCGTAACCACAAAATTGAAAAAAAATGATTTTTCTTTTTTGAAATTTGAGCCTCAAAATGACATATTTGTAGGTACATTTTAGTTGCATTTTTAGCTAGCCAAGAATTGGAAAAGGTTGCACTTTCCCTTGATATTAAAAACTGCATAAAATCAGCACAAAACTTATCAAAACATGACCTTTTTTCGATTGCATAAACATTTATAGTTTGGAACATAATTGCCATTAGTAGCTATAGTTTGTCTAAATATGATTCTTACTTATTGTTTTGAAGTTGTATTTGTCGCTTGATTAAATTTGTTGTATCTGTTCACTCAATTTTGTGGGATCCACTTCATCAGATTGCTTAACCTAGCTGTATCAACACATACAATTTGAATATATTGTATATGTTCGTTCAACTTAGTTGTATCAACACATAATTTCGTTAGATATACTATATTCGGACACAAATAAAAAATATTATATTTGTACTCTGTGTGAATTATATTATCACATATAGTACACTCCAATACACTTTATAATCATTTATCCAAAACGCCACACATAGAACTGACATGCACACAACATACATGTAATATACACTTTTTTTCTTTTCATCTCGATATGAAAATATTAAAAGCCAAATAGAAAGACTAGGGAGAACTTGTTTATGAGCCATTAATCATAGTCCATAGATAATCCATATTTGTTGCGGGCTTCTTGGATGATGGATTTATAGGACTTGGGCTTTCAGACTATATTGTCTAATTAATATCTCCCATCCATATTGATATTTAATAAGGAAAATATAAGTTTTATCGTTAATCTGTTACTAAATTATTCATAATTATTAAATTTCTTATAATATAATTTATTGATAGATTGTTGTTAAACAAATTAGCGATGAATTTGATTGTTCAATTAAAAAGATTGCCTATGCTAATGCCTACATTTTGGTAGTGAGCTTAGACAATACATTCTTGATTTTAATATTTGTGGTGTTAATTGTGCAAGTAAATCTGTTCACATGAGCTAATAATTAATTAATATTGTATTTATTACTAGCTACTTTCCATTAGCATAATTATCACTTATTAGACAACTTTGCCTCTTAAGGTTTATATTATAATAAGATACATATCAAGGAATGACTTCACGTTTTTTTGAAATTTAAATTTAAATCTCTCATGATATTTATCTTTTTTTTTTAATTAATTATTGAGCCACACTCTCGTGTGTCTATCCGTGCGTTCTATATCACTTTAAAAATTGTTCATGTTTTATTTGTTTTGTAGTTCACTTGTATGAAATATATATTTTTGGAATGGAATTAGCTTATTTAACAATAATTGAAATCATTTTAAAACTATTAAAGTATTCTAACATATTATATATCATGTTTTAAATATATTTTTTCTAAATTAGTAATTCAACTAATAATGGATAATTATGATCAATCACTGTTAGGTTATCTGATAGTATTAACTTTACATTTATATACCGTCAGTGCATATAAGATCAAATCACAACTCAATTTAAGATGAACTTTACTAACTCTAAAGGGAAAGAGGAAACTCCGGGCGACAACTTCCTTGATGACGACACTCATTCGTTCAACTTAGTTGTATCAACACATAATTTCGTTAGATATACTATATTCGGACACAAATAAAAATATTATATTTGTACTCTGTGTGAATTATATTATCACATATAGTACACTTCAATACACTTTATAATCATTTATCCAAAACGCCACACATAGAACTGACATGCACACAACATACATGTAATATACACTTTTTTCTTTTCATCTCGATATGAAAATATTAAAAGCCAAATAGAAAGACTAGGGAGAACTTGTTTATGAGCCATTAATCATAGTCCATAGATAATCCATATTTGTTGCGGGCTTCTTGGATGATGGATTTATAGGACTTGGGCTTTCAGACTATATTGTCTAATTAAAATCGCCCATCCATATTGATATTTAATAAGGAAAATTATGCGATCAAACAAACATATATTAGTTAATTAGCTAATATAGCTACAATTTGCATTAATTACAATTTAAAACTTATTTCTAGTGATAATTACATTTTCTCTCTCCCCTCTCTCTGGAATCTCGCTCGCCACGCTCTTCATTTTCAGTCATCTCTCCTCTCATTGCCCAGTCTCTCTCGCTTCTCTTCTGTCAATCTCTCTCTCACTTTATACAAACACAAATGTATAAATTGTATTTGTGCTTGTATAAAACGAGAGAGACGAGATATACAAAATACATATATTTTCGCCCTATACACTTATAACTATATAAATACAAATATTCTCCTATCCAGTTCTCTTCTCTCTCTCTACAAACACAAATTATACAAATACAATGTATATAATTTATGTTTGTATAAAGCGAGAGAGATAATTACAATGTATAGTTTTTGTTTGTATAAAACGAGAGAGAAATTGGATATACAAATACAAATAATTTAGCTCGGTTCATTTGTATACGAAAAAAATTTGTATGCGGATATACAAATACAATAATTGATCTTCAATTATCTAACTGATATACATATATAATTCACCTCTCTGCACTCTCTACCCTCTCTTGCTCGCATTTCTCCTCCCTATAACATGTAGCTATGAATCGTAATTAGTTGAGTGGCTATATGCGAAAATTTCCCTATTTAGTACTCTTGCCATCACTTTTTAGCTGTCATAGTTTCTTATGAAGAACGATATGAATTTTGACTAACATTTTAAGCTGAATTTTATCATCATATTGATATGAAAAATGTTGCAATTTATATTACTTTTTTGTATAGTTTTGAATATCTAAAATTTTATTTTAAAATATCATAGCTTTAATAATTAGTCAAATTAGCTTTTAAAAAGCGCAGCATGACAAAAAAAGGGACGGAGAAAGTAAAAAATATATATTTAGCTATTGAAACTCCAAAATATATATTCAACAAACAGATCGAACATACTTCATCTAACTTTATAAACCATGCACAACCTTACAATAATACTAGAAAGCATAAAAAAATCCCCAAAACCAAAACCTAGAAATATTAAAAACTATGCAATATAAAAATCAAAAATCCTAACTCCACCTCTATCGATCCGTTCTATTCATCAAAGCCGCGTAGATCATCGGCTAAATCATCATCCTCATCCGGAAGTGGCAGTTTACCAATGCAATTCAAAAACTCTATTTCCCGCCATTTCTCCGTATCTAAATCAAAAATCACTTCCGGCGGAGCAAGTGCAGGCGACTCCACAAAATGAAGATTATCGACCCCAACAAGCTTTCTAGCTAAGAATAAAAAAGGCAACTCTAAATTATAATTACTCTTCGCCGAGATCTCATAATACGGCCAATTTTTCTTCCTCCGGTAGAAGTTAATCTCCTTCGCCTTAACCTGTTTGTGTTTGATATCAATTTTGTTTCCGCAAAGAACAAAAGGGATATTTTCACAAAACTTAAAAAGATCGCGATGCCATGTAGGTACATTCATGTAGCTCAGGCGGACTGTAAAATCAAACATGATAATTGCACATTGGCCATGAATGTAGTAATTATCACGAACACCTCCAAAATTCTCTTGTCCAACTGTATCCCAACAATTAAATCGAATTTTTCCGTAATTCGTGAAGAAGTCTAATGGATGAACCTCCACACTAATAGTAGGTTCGTATTTTCTATCGAATTCGCCATTCAGATGCCTTTTGAGAAAAGTTGTTTTACCAGTACCGCCATCGCCTACGATTACGAGCTTGAAGCTTGGACAATCAACAATTTGTTGGTTTGATAGATCCATATTCAAGAGAGGGCTTACGATTTTTGCGTTGATCAATGAAGAAAATTGAATTGCTAAGGTAAGGTTTATATATTGGGGAAATAGCTTTAACTTGAAGCTAATTATTTGAATTTTTTCTGCTTAAATATTAGGCTACTAAATATTTTGTCCGTACACAGTTAGGTAATCGAGTCCTATTTTTACTGTAACAAAATTAATTCCTAGTTCTCTTGGGTAACTAATTATTTTCTAATCATAATGTTATTTATTTTTAATCAACATCATTAATGAATTAATTCCTCAAGGCCTCAAATAGAGATAATATTACTCACTTAAAAGAATCCAAGCCTACTACGTAAACCAGAAGTGAAACGTTTTTTCTAGTACATGAGGAAAGGATACAATGGGTATCATCGATTTGATTTATTAGTTATTGATCTGTAGACATGCCAAACTATTATAGAATCATCAAGATATTGACTTATCGGTTATTGATCGTTATCGGTTCGGTTGTCGATTTAACCATTAAAATTTGACAAAAAAAATAATCATTGAAATTCACTTAGAAACAAGGTGACAAACCAAATAAACCATGCACACGAGTGGGCAGAACACTATCACATTGTAGAATAATCGAGAGTTTGAGACAACTTGCAGAAATAAAAGTATGAAACTAAACTCTAAGTCAAAAACTTTATATATACCAAATGGTATAAATATAATTATTTAATTTACTATCATGTTATTGGTTAACCCATTAAGAAAAATCTTAAACTATTAAGAATTATAAAAAAATTAAAATCATTACCGAAATTGCTAAACAAATAAGAGTAAATTTTAGGTTTAGCAAACATAAAAATCATATTTGTATGCTATAATTATAGTTTGTATAATTGCGCTCCATAACAAACTTTATGTTTGCTATGACTATTAATCTGTATATTTCGGTATACATATACATAAAAATATGTATTTGTATATTTCGGTATACAAACTAAAACATAGTAATTGTATATAAACAAAATTACTACAGATATACAACATATATGTATACCGAATGAGTCTATTTGTATATTTCGGTATACAAATGGGTCCTGCAATTAGTTTTTATACAACACATATGTATATACAAATGGGTCCTGCAATTAATTTTTATACAAATGGAATGGCAAAAGACATGGAATATTTGCTGCGAATTACAAATAAAAGAAACTATGTCTATATATTTAATTTGAATTAATAGTTTGCTATTTCATACAATTTTTCCCAACAAATAATCCATTATCAATATTTTATTTTATTTTGGATTGAAATTATCGATTTCTTCCATTTTGAACTGCCCCACGTAACATTACCAAATTCAACTGTGGGCTTACTGGGACGAAGGGGGTAAATTAGCCCTCAAGACCTCAAATAATTTATATTATTTTATATTAATTTTTTAATATATAAATTAATTGGTCAAATCATATTAAATTTTATTTATATATATTTTAGTATATTGGTAATGTTTTCATATGAGAACCTTAAAAACATTTGTGGTGCCCAGCATTTTCAAATCCACATTTATGGTGCACTCATCATCTTTAAATTTTAAATTCTTCTCTAATTATTACTAGATAGTGTATAAAACTTTTTCTCATTGTAATATTAATATAGTAGTTCATGCCACAAATTCAATAATTTCTCCTACTTTGTAAAGAAATAACAATTGGTCCAAAATAAACTAGTAATAATTTATATAGTATTGCATACGATAAGCACTTGGATACAAATGCCGATGTTGGGGGTCTCCATATCAAATTATAAATTTATGTATACGAAATATTAAGTTGATAATTTTTAAAATTAATAAATTTGATGTTAAAACTTTAAAAGATTGAATTTATAAAATTTAAATTTATATTCGCATCTACACGATATATTGTCATTTGTTTCAAAATTCATACTTAAGCTTTCACAATTCAAAAGGAAGTATCTTGTTAGGCCCCAAAAATAACCATTTTAGAAAGGTAAAGTGTTTGTTATGATTTTAGAAAAAAAAGTATTTTTGGATGATAACATAACCTGTTTTTTTATAAGCTAAAAATGTGTGTAACTTTTTACAAAAGTATTTTTAAAACCTTAGTTAAGCAAAACGGCTACTTTAATATTATTGATAAAAGTATTTCTAAAATTAATTAATCAAATATAAATTATTACTCTATGTTTGTTCCTTTTACATTTTAATATTATAAATGTATATTAAGTGACAATATGTTACGATCCTCACATAATGTGTAGCATTTGGTTTGTTATGTTGATGGCATATAATGCCTTCTTTATTTTCTTATTTTCATTAGTTAGTGGTAGAATGTGACCATTAATTTTTTGTAACTTATGCAACCTCTTGGTCATTCATTTATCTATATTATTATTCACATTATTTCTATTTAATACAAGAAAGAATTTCTCACCTATAAATAATGGTATTTTTTCCTTTGAGAAATGAGAAGGGTATCTCAAAAAAGATGAGAAGTGTGAAAAATATTGTAGTGAGGTTAATGTAGAAAGAGTTGAGACAAGAAAAATATTCTTAATCTTCAACTAATTCACTATACAAAAAAGAGTAATTATATGTTGAAGGAAGATATTCTTTTTGTGGAGCTTTGAACTCTTTAACTAATTTGGAGTTACTTGAGTTGCACAACGTTGTTGGGTTGTTGTATCTTGGAAAGGACAAGTGAAGAGATTATACCGCAGTGAGCTTAAATTTCCTTAGTAAGAACGAGATATTCGCGCTTCAGCTTATATGATTTATTTATTCATTTTTATTATTTTATTTTTAACTATAATCTATTATATTTGTGGTATAATAGATTATGTTTTGACAAAATAGACTACAAAATTAAAGGTAGCACTAATTTTGTTCTCCACATCAGGTAATACCCCACCATATTGTATAAATTATTACACCAACTTCATGTCACGACCCGAGCCTACACCCTGGACGTGGCCGACACTCGAAGACCATTGCTGGTCCCCAAGCGAACCCTCATCCTGGCTGACTACAAGCGGAAAACTGATTCAAGCATACTAAGCTTAAAAACTGAAATAAAAGTTCATAAAACTTAAATACAAACTTTAAGTCCAAAGAAAACTCTGTATAATAAAATATATACAACTCGCCATAAAAAGGCAACTTTAGTCTTTAAAACATTTAATAAAATAAATGATACAGACTTCTCAACTATACTGACTATCTATGAAGCCTCTAACTGATAAAGATGGAAGTCGGGACAAGACCCACGACATCCTAATAACTGATATAACTGAAAGGTAAATGAAAATCCTCCGAAAGCAAGGAGGCTCACCATAGCTAACTCGAACTCTCGGATATATCAACGAAGCTCCTGTTGATGATCCTGAATACATGTGTCTGCATCATGAAAAGATGCAGGCCAAATGGCTCAGTACGTGGAATGTACGAGCATGTAAGAGGAATTCTAAAACATAAACATAAGCTTGAAACTTGATAGAAATGAAACATACTTACCTTTTCTCAAACTTACTCAACTCAAGGAATACTCAAGGGTACTCAAAACTACTCAAACTTACTCAACTTAGAAGTACTCAATGATAAGATACTCAACTCCGAGATTAGATACTCAACTCAAGGATATGATATTCGACTCAAAGATATGATATTCGACTCTGGATACTCAACTCTGGATACTCAACTCTGAATACTCAACTAATTATGACTGAACTCATTTCAATATAAAGCAATTTAAAACAAGTGCAATATAAAGAAACAAACTGTTTAAAAACATGCTATGAAATCTGTGTGTATGCAAGGATACAACATAACTCTGAAATGTATATAAAAATACAATAAACTGATGTATATAAAAATACAATAAACTGATGTATATAAAAATACAATAACTTCTGTGGGAGTTTCTCTAACCGACAACCATCACTAAGAGCTATAGTGATGATACAGCGATCTACCTCACGCTGCCAGCGCATCCTATACCCGGCCAAAGGTATAGGACCTGAACTACTAATGGATCCACTAGTCTATATGAAAAAGGTTCATCCAAAAAGTATGACCCTTTTCTACCCATGATGACTACATGGTTTATGGGGGCTGTGAGTTGTCTGTACTCTCCCCCATATCGGTGCTCAATACTACTCCCAAAAATATACTAGCTCTTATGTTTTAAAAACATACTTCTTTCTGCTGATTTGAGATAGTTGCTCAAAAAACATAGCTCAAAGGCTATCTTGGAAATCTCAGTTTCCCTGCTTGCTTCATTTAGAAAGCTATTACTCTTTTCTGAAAACTAGCCCGAAGGCCCTTTGGAAATCTCAGTTTCCGTTCTTATTTAAATGTGAAAACATTTATAAACTCTTTGGAAATACTTAGTCCCCATATACTTTTAAAGAAAAGGACTTCAAACTTTACTCTTTACTCTTTACTGAACTCAAAACTTAAATCTTAAAACAAAGTTAAAACGTTTGTAAAAGACTTCTTAAAATATGGTTCATACCGAATTATGGACATAAACTACTCAATGCAAGGTTTTCAATAACCATATATAGAACTCAAATACTTGGAACTCAAGAACTTCAATGATACTACTAATTTCAAGAATGCTCAACTCAGAGGGTTCGTGCGGAATTATGAGCATGAACGACTCAACTCAAGGACTCAAAGATACTTCTCATCTCAAGATTGTTCGACTTATAATGTTCATGTGGAATTATGGGCATGAACAATTCAACTCAAGGACTTCATGGGTAACATGTAATAGTGCTATGATTATAAATATAATCTCATAGGGGATTAGGAACTCAATACTTAGAACTCGAAGATACTACTCCTCTCAAAGGTACTCAACTGATGAAGTTCGTGCGGAAGTTATGGGTATGAACGACTCGACTCAAGGGTCAAAATATCAATAAGGAACTCGTGTATACGACTCTTCTCATTCTCATACTTACTTACTCAAAACTTAACTCAAATCGATGATGGA